TCGGGGGAAGGAGGTCCTGGTCGGGGTCGGGGTGGGGGGCGCAGAGTGGAGATCGGGGGGGAATCGGGCGAGTCGGGGAAGGATCGACGGAAGTCGGGGGGGACGGAAGGTTGGAGTGGGGGTGCGCAGTTGGGGGAGCAAGCTGGGGGAGTCGGGACGGGAGGGGGAGTTGGGGAGGGAGGAGAAGAGGAGGATCGCACGGGGCGAGGTGCAGGGAGATGACGACAGTCGCGCGGGGAAGTAGCGCGCGAGGGGGGAAGACGATGACATCGACGAGGAGGAAGAAGAGGAAGGAGAAGGAGAAGAAGCGAGGAAGGAGAAGAGGGGTAAAAAAAAAGAAAGTTTATTGGTCACTTACCTGCGCGTCGACTTCGGGATCAGTGGCGAGGCAGCGACGACAACGAAGGCAGAGAGGTGCTGACGTGGCGATGGTGGCAACGGCAGGTACGAGGCGCTGGCGTGGCAACGATGAGGCACTGATGAAGACGATGATGACGTGGCAATGTCGGCATCGAAGATGGCCACAACGTCGATGACGAAGATGATGATGACGATGAAGGCCTGGAGCGGTGGCTGCTCCACGTCCATGAGAGTGGGCGGGAGGGCGATCGACACCGCTCCGATACCAGTGTGATGGGGCTGAGGCAGAGCAGTGAGGTCGGGGAAGAGAGAGGGAGGGAGTGAGAGCAGTGAGCACACACATACACTCACTCAACTCGACACAGACTCGACACGGCTCGACGGACACGGACACAAAGTGGCAAAGTGCCAAAGTCACAATCTTGGTTCCGTACACAATGTCGCAGCAAGTCACACTGAAGCACACGCACCGAGGCCGAAAACTGCGTCTCCGAACTCAGCTTGAGTCCGGTCTTAAGTACTGGACTCGAGTTGAGTTCGCGGGCAAAAGTGCAATTTGCCTCGGGGCTGAACTGAAAATCGAAGGTCTGAGCCTGGGCGCCAGAATGCCGGATGGCGCCAAGTACGAAATCCGAAAGTGGCAGAGGCGGGATTTGAGAACGGGCACCAACTGCAGACGGCGCCAACAGTCAGGAACCAGAGATCAGAAACTCCAAAAAAAAAAAAGAATACCCACGGACCAGGGATCGAGCCCTGGCTGGGTCCGTAACAATCACAGCCATGCGGCCCAAGCTCATCAACGAAAATGAATCCTTTGCAACTTTTAGTTTGTCTTCCTTATTGATTGTTGCAGAGATCCATTTCCGCTTTTCTGCTGGCATCAGATCTGGCCCACTTTTTCTGGCAAAGTTGAATACAACTGCATGTTTTTCGTGGAATTCATCAAGCTCTGGGGCTTCGCCATCTGGGTATTTCCAAATCACTGTTTCCTCCTCTTTGCCTTCAGCGTTCTTGTGTTTTCCAATTACTACTTCCCCTTGCACCTTGTTTTTTTTGATGAGAAATTTTAAAGCCTCATTGTCGATAACTGTGGCGAGTGCTTTGCTTGTTTGTGATGTGCGACTGCTTGTGTTAGAGCCTTGGAGTGTTTGCTTGAATCTTGCTGGCGCCCTGCCATTCCTGGGGCTCTGCATTGCTACTTTTACAAGTTTCGACCTGTCTTTTATCGCGACTTTGTATGCAGGATTGTTTACAATTTGATAGACACTGACTTGTAGGCTGGGCTATGACGTCAGTGTTGTCTGAAAGCGTGAGAGGATCAGTGTGGGGAGAGGGAGAGAGAGGGGGCGAGGGGGCGGTTTGTTGTTGTTGTTGTCGTTGTTGTTGCTGTTGGTTTTTTGTTTTTTGTTTTTTTCCCCCCCTAAGCTATAGATTATTGAATCATGTATCAGTACCTGTTACGGGTATTTAAGTAGAAGGGGGAAGTGGGATCATACCGATGAAATGGGTTGTATGGGTCTTAGGAAGGGGGGAAGGATGGCAGAAGAAGTCGAGGGGAGGAAGAGAACCGCTTGTGGGGGATGGGTGATCAATGGTGGGACAGTGTGATTCAGTGGGGGCCTCGTTAGGCAAGCAGGGAGGGTTAGGCCGCACATGGTGGAACAGAAGCTTTTGTGGAGGTTGGGGGTGTAGTTTGGATGGGTTGTGAGTCGGTGGTTAGGGTTGTGGGTAGTGGGGCGTCGGGGCAGTCAGTGTCGAAAAAGAGGAATAAGTCTACCACCAGAAGGGGGGAACGTATGTGTGAGGTGAGTTAGGGGGGGAAGGGGGCGGGGGGGGGGAGGAATAAGTCGATGAGTAGGGCGATGAGTAGGGATGTAGGTGGTCAGAATGGCAATGAGAGCGAGAGTGTCAGATTTGTCTCACTTCGCAATAAAGAATTCCGCCGAGTCCTGCTATTAACTTTTCTTGCCTTCCTATCTGGTCGCGCCCAAAAGTAGATGGCCGTAGTCGCGATCGTGGTTACATACGTCTTGAATGAAGCCCCTGGTGAAGCCTGCCGTTCCCACGACTTACTTCTTGTGTCTTCCCCGGAGGGTCCTTGTGTCAGTGACACGCAGAGGACTCCAGCGGGGCCGTAACGCTCCTTTTCTGTAATTGGAAAGGCACGCCCGTGGTCCTCTTCAATGACTGTTTCCAGTAGCTTTTTCTCCTGCCCTGAAGATTTGTCCTATGCTGTCGTGACATTGTCTCATAGAAGGGCCAGATCTTTTTTCGAATCTTAGACGAGTCTTTGTCTCACAGATTCCCTTCCTCCGTTTCTCCAGTCTCGATTCCCTTCCTCCTCTCCCAACTCATAGAGGATGCGTCGAACTGTGGGCATTATCCCACCCTCTATCATGAACGGCTGGATAGATCCCAGATGAAATCGATAAACATTCTTAGAAGATCCCGGCTGGAGCACAGCTAAAAAGCTCGCGACTAGGCGCTGCGCAGCGCCCCAACCTATGTGGCGCAGTACTCCACGTTCGCACGCAGAGAGCCGGGCTCGTGGTTTGCGACATTGCACGATGTGGCGACGCAGCGTGACATTAGCGCTGTGATGTGCTAACCGATGGCGCGTGCGCGAACTCAATGTTCCTTTCAATTTTTGAGTAGCAACGTGGTGACCCTACTGTATAAGAATGGGGACCGGGAGGGAGGACATTCGTAACTATAGACCAATCTCCCTACTTACCCTCCCCTCCCCCTGTTTCCCCTCCTGCCCCCTGCTGGGGGTAAACAAATTCCCCAAAGCACAGCCCCTGCATATGAGAAGGGAGGGAGACCAGTGCCCTAAAGGGGCCCCATATAGTGCCCGAAGGAGTGTCAGCCAGAAAGGTGGTCGGTGACACTCGGTGGCACTCCCTTTCAAAGTCAGCCTGAATGGCAATCTGGAGATTGTATTTAACATAGTCCATGACCTTGACTGAAGAGGTGCGTTGGCTGGACCTGATGTGTTCGTTGTAACAGCTTCAGATAGCCCAAAGGATGGCTGCCAGAACAGTTTCCATGGCCCAGAGGGAAGACGCCAGGGTATTTCGGGGGCCATCCATAAGACGTGCACATAGTAAGACAGTGCCGAAGTTCAGAGGTGTCCATTTATAGGACCCAAAGAGTAGGCGGCCAACTCTGCAGCCGCTTTGTGCCATTCAGTCCAAAAGGGGCGAAACGTTGAGCAAGCAAAATATAAGTGGGAGAACATCCTTGCAGACAAATCTACCCACAGACCTTGAAGTAGAGCTATACTTGTCTGCATTCAACTGGATAGGACCTTTCTAAACCTAGCCAACTTGCTAGAAAATCCCTACCAGCCTCTAGCAAGTTCTACATCTACCTGCAGCCTTCTGGATTTTCTGGTAGGTCCTGTCGCCGAATTTCCGGCCTATCCCTGTGTCTACACCTATCACTAAACTAACCCTGTCCGAAGCACAGAAACAGAACACAGAAACCAGGGTTAGGCCAGGGACATATACTTGGCACATCCAAGTACATGATAT